TACTCAGAAGGCAGAGGCAGGAGAATGGAGAACTTGAGGCCGGGTTGGTTCCAGGCCAACCTGGGCTGCATTGCAAGACTATCTCAAAACCAAAATCCTGAAACAGAACCAAATTTCCTTATTTCCATAGCAAGGCACGGCCACCCCATCACATGTGCCTGAGGGGTCTACCCATAGTGCCTGAGGGGTCTACTCCAAGGATTGTGTGTGAAACTTCGCCTCTAAGGCAAAGCTGCCCATGTCTTCTTGTGGGCTCAGCCTCTGAGCACTCGACAAGTGTCCTGTGACTCTGCACTCCGTTGTTTAGTTCAGGACAAGTATTTATGGCCACTTGTCAAGTACCAAGCAGCATTAGGAGACAGGGGAAACTAGAAAATCTCTGGTGCTACCATATCCCAAACCCTCTCCTTCCCCCAATTTTTTATTGTTCTGGCAAGGCGGCCCAGGAAGTGTGACTTGCTGAGATGGGGGATTTCCTGGCTTGGCTCTTTTCTAGGGCTCCAGAGGATAAATGAGAAAACTATGGGCATCGTCTGTGTCCCCTCTCCTCAGCACTGGCAGTGGGCACTGAGGGCTACCTGAGCGGGGCAGTAGGTTTGGAGTAGTTCTGGAGGGCCCAGGGCACTTCCTAACAAGCGGGGCTGAGGAGGATGAAACTGAGGTGAGACTCTGCCCTTCTGTGCTCTTGATTCTCTCTTTGTTTTCTCCAGACGGACCAACAGGCCGAGGCCAGGTCCTACCTCAGCGAGGAGATGATCGCTGGTGAGTGAGAATGTGCCACTGGGGGAGAGGAGAATAGGTGGGAGGCTGACAATCCAAGGCCTCACTCATCCCTCTCCGCTTCTCCCCCTGGTAGAGTTCAAGGCTGCCTTTGACATGTTTGATGCTGATGGTGGTGGGGACATCAGCGTTAAAGAGCTGGGCACCGTGATGAGGATGCTAGGGCAGACACCCACCAAAGAGGAACTGGATGCCATCATTGAGGAGGTGGATGAGGATGGTGAGCTGGGCCCTCCAGGGCAGGGCGCGGTGGGGAGAGGCTCAGGGCGTGCTGGGCTAAGTGTGCGGCCCGCTCCCCGCAGGCAGCGGTACCATCGACTTTGAGGAGTTCTTGGTCATGATGGTGCGCCAGATGAAAGAGGACGCGAAAGGGAAGAGCGAAGAAGAGCTGGCAGAGTGTTTCCGCATCTTTGACAGGTGCGTGTGGGGTCTGGGATCACGGACTTGGGAGCAGATGGAGAGCCTGCTGGCCTGAAGAGATGGGGCAGGCTGGCCAGGGTCAGGGTGTGAGCTGAGACGTCAGGCATGGCTCCAGCAATTCACCGGTTCCCTGTGTCCTGCTCTGTCCATCCCTCCCCCCTCCCCCCCAAAAAAAAAGGAACGCAGACGGCTACATTGATGCTGAGGAGCTGGCTGAGATTTTCCGGGCTTCTGGGGAGCACGTGACAGATGAGGAGATCGAATCCCTGATGAAGGACGGAGATAAGAACAATGATGGCCGCATTGACTTCGACGGTGAGGGCCAGCGGGAGCTCTTAGCTTTGTAGGTGGGGCTGGGCGTAGCCTGATTAAGTTCCCTCCCACTGTCTTGAGGCCCCGAACGGTGCTCCGGCCGCTTAGAGCAACTAGGCGCCCCTCTGCGAGTGGAGAGCCCAGGCCAGGTCGCTGCCCCCGGAGAGGTACCCCTGAGCTCTTCCCTCTTTTTCTCCGCAGAGTTTCTGAAGATGATGGAGGGCGTTCAGTAACGAGCCGGCCTTCGCTTCCACCCAGATCGCAGGTCCCCTGGGTGTAGACAACTCCACCCTTGCCTTCCCCGCCCCACCAGGGAAGGGCCGCTCCTCCGGACTTTGTGACTGGAAGGAATAAAAGCTGACGTTGCAAAGCTGGCCTGACTGACGGGGGAAATGATTGAGGGTAAGGGATCATAGGGGTTGCCCTATGCCCAGAGCGTTCCCGGGATCGGCGGTATATGAAAAGGAACTGGGTCACGCGAGCCCGAGGCACGGGCGGCGGAGTGCTTGGCGGTGCTCGACCGGCTCTACAGGTTCGCGGCCAGCTACCCGCAGCAGGCGCTGGCCGTGGGCAGCTCGGCAAGTGGGCTGCAGGAAGGGGAGCCGCTGGGTGACCTGACTGCCGGTCGAGCAAAAGCGCCTGAGACAGGGCGAAGGTGTGCGGAAGCTGGAACCCGGGAGGGGGCAACGCTTCTTTTCCCTCACCATTTTTGGAAACTCTTGGGTCTTACGTTCACACTCTGCAGGTCCATCCTGAGGAGGAGGGATCTTTCCATCCACCCCAGACAGCTGCATGAACTACTTTGTTCAGGCGCAAAGCTGGAAGAGAGCGTCGTTTCTTTGGTCCCTCATCTCCCTCCCTTCAGCCCCCTCCATTGCGCTCCAAAGGGCCAAAGGCATGACCTAGCTAAAGTGAAATTCTATCCCGAAGGATGTGCCTTTCTTAGGAACCTGGCGTATTCGTCAACCCACAAGCCCGGGCTCAGATATCTCTCCTCCCTGGATCCCAGCCCCCAGTGATTCAGACAACGCCATTAACCTTCCCTACCACTCAATTGCTACCAAACCAGAACTAATTGAGGGCAGTAATTAGCCTTGGGTTTGAACCCTCTCTGCCTGTGATAAATTCAACCTCTCTGTGTCTCCGTTTCCTCATCTGTTAAAACGAAAATAACGAATACTTACGGGGGACAGAAGTTCTAGAGTAGTTGTGGATGAAGTAGAACAGCTCCTGACACAGAGCAAACATTTAATAAATGCTGGCACTTACGTGGTTCTGGAGATGGGGCCCAGGTACACGCTAGGCAAATGCAGGGCCACTGGCCACATTTCTACTCCATTCCATTGTACATAGCATATGTACCTTTTGCTAATATTAGGATCACCCTTACTGCCATTCTTTTTCTTTTTTCTTGAGACAGGATCTCTCTATGTAGCCCTATCTAGCCTGGAACTCACTCTGTAGACCATTCTGGCCTCAAACTCACAGCGATCTGTGAGCGGTCTGCCTCCTGAATGCTGGGATTAAAGGTGTGCGCCACCATGCCAGCCAGCCTGCCACCATTTTTGTAATCCTGAATTTTACTGTTATTTTATTCATGATTACAACCCACCCTCTCCATTCCTGTCCTGTCTTCTTCCTCCCACGGAAACATTTTTATTCTTTTAGATTTATGAGTGTGAATGTTTCACCTACATGTGTGTCTGGCACCACCTTTGCCTGGTACCTGAGGACACAAGATGGCATTAAATCCCCTGAAACTGGAGTTAGATGGCTAGGATCCACCATGTGGGTGCTGGGAACCAAACCCAGGTTCTCTGCAAGAGCAACAAGTGCTCTTAACCACTGAGCCATCTCTCCAGCCCCTCCACTTAAACTTTTTTATTTTTTAAATTTTTTAATATTTATTTACTTATTTATTTATTTATTTTTTGGTTTTTCGAGACAGGGTTTCTCTGTGGTTTTAGAGCCTGTCCTGGAACTAGCTCTGTAGACCAGGCTGGCCTCGAACTCCCAGAGATCCGCCTGCCTCTGCCTCCCAAGTGCTGGGATTAAAGGCGTGCGCCACCACCGCCCGGCCCCTTATTTGGTTCTTAACTAGAAACAACTCTGGGTCCTTGTGACAGGGGAGGTCAGCTGACCAACACCACCTTAAGGACCACATGTCCCAGCCTTCCAAGGCAGACATGAATACAGCCACTCCAGTTCTTAGGCGTCCTAAGTCTGTTCTAGGTGGCACCTGTGCTGTTTCCAGGACCACACCTTTTTCCTTTGCCAGAATTGCAGGCATGTCTCATCGTGCTGAACTCATACCTGTTTTTGGTATGTATAAGTTAGGGTCCTGATAACATGCTTCTGCCTTAGAACTCCATATAGACCAGACTGCTACTGTGTTTCTGGGGACTGAACACAGACAGGGTCTAGTGCACGGTAGGCAGGCACTCTAACCGAACCACACCCTTTGCTGAACATCTTGTATGTTAACTAGACCACAGCAAAAGTAACCTGGGGCTCACCAGAAATGCAACCCTGACAAGATCCCAAGTGGGTTTGCCCACATTACATGAATTATAAGAGAAACACTAACTTCTGAACTGACAATTCAATTTTCCTTTTCCACATGTGGCTGTAAGGGCTCAGGACTGAGGATGGGCTAACAGTAGTTAACGGGGCTGACTAGAACCTTCCTGACAGGCCTGTCCCTCTGCCTGGCCTCCCTCTTCCCACAGGCCTGCACAACCAGCTGCTTCAAGCAGCCGACTTGGGGAGGGTCCTCATGGAGATGGAGGAGGTGAAAGTGCCCCCCCCCCCAACCCCTGGCATAAAACCATGCGTGGGGACCTGAGTTCAGAGCTCAGTCTTTCTTTTTCAGAGTTCGGACCTGCTGTAGGGTAACCTGAGCCCCCCATATAACATGTTAGAAAGTGGGTGTCTAGTGCTTCCCTCTCTTACACATTTTTTTTTTAAAGAATTTATTTATTATGTATACAATATTCTGTGTGTGTGTGCCTGCAGGCCAGAAGAGGGCACCAGACCTCATTACAGATGGCTGTGAGCCACCATGTGGTTGCTGGGAATTGAACTCAGGACCTTTGGAAGAGCAGGCATTGCTCTTAACCTCTGAGCCATCTCTCCAGTCCTCCTACACATTCTTGAGCTTAAGGGTCTGGCTTAGCCTCATCTATAACCCAACTGGCACAGTGCATGCTGTAACTCAGAAACGGACATTAATCTGGGGCTGGAACTGAACCCAGGACTTCACAGGTATTCAACATGCTTTCTGCCAGGGAGCTATACCTCCAGGCAAACAAGCATTATCGTGACACCCACTTTATTGGTGAAGACTATATGCAGACACACAAGGTCACACCCTAGTAACCTACATTCAGCCCCACTGTCTATCAGCTGCTTCCAACCCTGGAACCAACAGGCCAGCACCCAGATGTTAAGCTAGCTCCCCTCTTGTCCCAGGTACCACTGGCTGAGGGTAACTTATACAAAAACAATCAACATGTATTTATTTAATATACATTGGAAGGGCTTAAGCAGACTTAAGTTAAAAAGACAAATAAAACAAAAATAACACCACAGCGTAGAAATCAAGGAAAGGACAGACCATCTAAGAAAAAAGATGACACAAGGAGAAGCTGGACATCTTGTGTCAGGGCTCTTGATTGGAGACCTGCTTTGAATAGGTTTCTTGCAGGTACTTCTTAAATGCTGGAAGAGAACAAACAGGTCTCAGGTAAGTGATAGGATGGGGGCGGCCGGCAGGGCCTGTTCTCCCTGCCCAGTAGATACCCCCCACTGTTGCCATCTAGCTGGCTCCGTGATTGACTTGCTTCCAGAGTCAAGGAAAGGTACAGGAGACAGGGCTTCTCCAAGTAGTCCTGGCTGTCCTGGAACTCGCTCTGTAGACCAGGCTGGCGTTGAACTGAACTCCTTTGAGCTCTGCCTGCTTCTGCAGGTACCACTACCACCCAGGGTCAGGAGACACATTCTACCCAAAGATCCCTTTATTTAAGTATGGAGGAAGCAACAGGGCAACTCATCACAGGGTCCCTGTGAAGGCTGGAGAAGAACCTACCTGTGGGGTTTTTCCAGAGCTCAGCAGCGTGTGTGTTCAATGGGCTATCGATGTTGGGTTCTGTGGATGGAGTCAGAACAGTCAAGGGTTAAGAGGCAGGTTCAGGGGAGCCCTGGCAAACTCCCACCATGGTGTGCAGGAGTGGGTGGTCTCAGAAGTTACCTCCTAGCAGGCTCTGGATAGACAGCAAGATGGTCCTGACATCATACAGCGCGGACCACTTATCCTTGAGGATGTCCAGGCAGATGTTCCCCTGGGTGTCTACATTGGGGTGGTAGCAAGGTGTGAGGAACTTCACTGTGGGTGCGTTGTAAGGGTAGCCACTGGGGAACTCGAGTGAGAGTTTATACCTCAGGTCTTCATATACCTGGCATTGGGGGGAAAAGAAGGGTGAAGTAAGTCCCCTGTGCACCCCTCAACCCCACATTCTATTCAAGCCCCAAATAAGGTCATGACTTTTGAGTCTGAAATCTGACCAGCAGATAATGAATGTGGTAAGTTGGTTCCGGGTGCTTTCTTCCCATCTGGGGGGATATCAGTGACCAAAAGGTCAAAAGATTGAGACAGGGCATCCTGAGGGCTACCAGAGAGGTGCAATTAGTATCTTAGTCAATGTGAAAATTCTGCCAGGAGGTGGTGGCACACGCTTTTAATTCCAGCACCCAGGAGGTAGAGGCAGATGAAGCTCTGTAAGTTCAAGGCCAGTCTAGTCTACAGAGAGAGTTCCAAGACAGGCCCCAAAGCTACACAGGGAAACCCTGTCTCAAAAACCAAAAGCAACAGCAAAGTAAATAAAAGAAAGTAAAAATTTAGATTTGACTCCGATCCAATTTCTGATTTAAAACCAGATCTGCAGCAGTGGGCAGCTGCTTGTTGTGGCCTCCCGCTTCACCGTGGTCTCTAACTGGCACTGCCCAAAGAGCCCCTTCCCATTGTACTCAGAGAACATGGCCACAGGCACAGGGGACTGAAGTCGCCTCCTCTGTCACACTCAGCAAAGTGACCCCAAGTCCCACACCACACTTACTGTGCCGGCTGCTCCATGGATGGTCCCTACCCATTTGAACAGGTTGTCTGATTCAGGGAAGGCGGAAATCCCTTTGTCACCAGACATCTGTGGGAAGAAGACACCCAACTGCTGGATTCCAGAGTACACTTTCAGGCATAGCCAAAGGGATCACTGGGGGAGGGCCTGCCCTGATATCATTATAGTCAGGCCCTAAACAGAGCAGCTGGAGTCAAATCACAGGAGGAAGGAGTGGAACAGGGAAGCACATGGAATTTAAATTAATTATATGGCATTAGAACCTGCGAATTGATATTTAGGGGGATACAGCAAAGGCCCACCGGAAGGGAGAATTCCAAGGTCTGAAGAGACTAGAAGGGTGGGGAGGGTGAGGTCAGAGCTGGGGCTGAAAGTAGGCAGGGCTGAGCCCAGATAAGCCCATGACTCCGGGAAGCCGGCTGCTGTGTTCAGAGGATTTCCCATAAGAGCGTAAATTACACCCAACGGATTAGAAAGGAACCTAAAGACGGAAAGGTAACTGATAATTGGGTGGGGGAAGGGAGGGTGGGCCAAATGATCTTAAAAAATGCCGTCACTCACCATGAGGGTCATCAGCTCCTGTTGTAGCCTGCAAAGAGAAGTAGGGGTCACTTGTGGCATGGCTGCTGCCACCCGACTATCCTGAGGAGCTGTCATGGAGGCCTCGCCTCTTCTTCGAAGGCACACTCGTCATCCACAGGAGGACCCGGGTGAACCTTCTGTTGCATGTTAAGCCCAGCGCTCCTAGAGCCGCCTGGCAGCGCACCCAGCCTTTCATCTCCTGCGTTCCTGGTGCCCCTCTTGTGTCCCATGCCTCACCGGCTACCGGGGATGAGGCCCGGGGGTGAGCTCCGCACTACTCACCTCTTGCCCACCGGGCCCCGGGCGGCACCCCCGCTGGGCTCGGCTCCCTTGCGAACGGCGGCGACGCTGGCGGCCGCTGGGTCGCGATTTTGCGAGGCCATTCCGAGGACGCTGGCAGCGGAACAGCAATGCGGAGACGACTGAGCAACTGCGGGGCTCCGGGCCGCCGCCCGCGTTTGAATCCTAACTCTCCTGCAGCGAGAGCCAATCACAGGCTCGCTTGGGTTTGATCCAGCCAATGGGCGCCCTGGAGCTCTCTGCCTCTGCGCAACCGCTAGGCCACCCAGTAACGCGCCGCGATTGGACGACGGGGACCTACGTCGGACAGCCGATTGCCGGGGAGAGCTACCATTAACTAACAAACCGGTAGCAGATTGGTGGCCATTGGACCGCCCATTAAAGGGTCAAAAAATCGTCTGCACGACTACAACCCCCGCCCCCTCCCCGGACCCGGTCCTTTGGGAGCCGGACTCCAGTCGCTGGCCAGTGATTAGGCTGCGACCTTGACCTCTTGACACCACCCCCCTCGCCTTCACTTCCCAAGTGCTCCGTCCCAACCCGTGGCACAGGCTCAGCGGGGATCACTTTTTGACAGTGCTGTCGTCCCCCAAGCTGGAAGTCTTTTCTCCTCATCCTATTTAAAATGACTTAACTACCTCTGTTTGGGTCCCAAGAACTTAAAAAGAATTTAGGCAGGTGAACCTAAGGTTGCCGGTTGAAGCAGATTGTTAGAAAACGTGGTTCCGGTGGTGCACGCCTGAATCCCTTGGAAGGTGGAGACACCAGGTTATCTTTAGGCTAGCCTGGGCTATATGAGACCGTCTCAAAGAAACAAAAATGTCTTTAATCCCAACACAGGCAGAGGCAGGCGGATCCAAGTTCGATGTCAGTCAGGGTCACACACTCATCTCCACAAATGTAATCGTCTTATGGTTCTCCAGTAGGTTTGCTGTGCTACCTCTGCAGGTCAGTGTTAGCCTGTAACACTGGGGTAATAAAGGCCAACAGCATTTTCCCTTTGGTCGGCCATCAAACCCCGGCGGGGCTAGCTGTCATTGCTCAACATTCCCTAAACTGGAAAAAGGACAGGGGAGACTGGCAAAGGACACAGTTTTCCTAGTAAGATGGGGGGTGGGCCTGTGGTGGTCCTTTTCTGGTGTGCCCAGTACTTCAGCCCTTGTTCATCAGCCCCCAGTAGGCAGTCATTAAAGCAGGGTCACCATCTGTGTTTATTACAAACTGTTTAATTGTCCAATAACTTTAAAAACAGAACCACATGCCAGTCCGGGTGCTCTGCAGTGAGTCACTACAAACTAGCTCACGTACAGCTTAATGCTGCTAAGATCCAACTAGACCCAGTCCCAGGAGGGCCTCAGCCGGTTGGGAGAGAGGGTCTTAGAGGCAGGCTGCCAAGTGGAGTAGCCAGAACACCTGGCTCAGGTCTGGGGCGGTGCTTCAGCAGCACGATGCTCATTTTCAGTTCGTAGTGTCTCCATGTACTTCCGCATCTTCTCAACCATCCAGGATGGCAGGACAAAGGACTTCAGCTCCTCCAACTTCAGGTCCAAGCATCCTCTGGGGAGACATTGGAGGGATGATAAAGGGAGGGTGATGGCCTCATCCATGTGCCTACCGAGGCAGATGGAGGACTGAGAAAGGCCCTTTGTGTTTTACCTGTAGTCATCGCTGGCAGCCAGGTCTCGGATGTCCTCCTCAATGAGAAGGTAGGCCTGGAGGCAAGGGAGAGTGGTTAAGGCCTCTGAGTCATTTCACACGGATTCAGAAACAGTCTATTAATGTGTACGGCCTGCTACCCCCCAGACTCAGGATGCAGCTTACTGATAACCTGGGAAGAGTGTGTAGGAAGACACTGGAGGATGGCTCAAACAGCAGCTTTACAGGGGGAGGAGTAGATACCAGTGACTAAGGAAAAAAGTTGCTTAGGTTGTCCCTGAACTCCTGAACTTCATGACTCAAAACAGACCCTGCCTCCCCAGCCTCCTGAGTAGCTGGATTTCAGGCATGTGTCATAGAGCCTGGCTTTGCTGATTATCTGTGGCTTTTACACACGACTTGTGTGGTTTATAACAAAATGGTGACAGCTAGCAGAATACGGAGGAGACGGGAGGAGGTGGTGTTTGCCCTGGGGACTTAGACAACTTGGTTTTGAGTTTGTGTAGAGGGGCAGGTTCAGTCAGCAGCGCTGCTGTGCAGTGGCTGTAGCACTGAGTTCTCCCGGGTCTGTACAGGGCCACAGCCTTCAGTCCTTGAGCTCACACGTGGTATCTGTTTTTGTTCCTGTAGCTCAGACTGGCCTGTAATTCTTGTAGCCCAGGCTGGCCTTGAACTCATTGCAGTGTTCCTGCTTTATCCTTAGAAGTGCTGGGATTATAGGCATGTGCCACATACACAAACACAATGCACACTAAATGAGATGTAATAAAGAAGTTTTAAAATTAGTATTGGGAATTAAACATACCAGGCAAGCACTCTACCCCAGCAGCCTGCCACATCCCCCCTTTTTTTAGATATGGTTTCATGTAGCCCAGGCTAGCCTCAAACTTGTCATATAATGGAGACTGGCTTTAAATTCCTGATTCTGCCTTTACCCCTCAAGTGCTGGGATACAGGTGTGACACACCATTTCCTAAAGACACACTGGTCTTTAGGAAAAAAACAAACAAACAAACAACCTCTTTTAAAAATTTGAGACAAAGCCTTGTAGTGGTAGTGATGTAGTGATTGTCTTTAATCTCAGCATTTGGAAGGCAGAGGCAGGGGGGGGATTTCTGAGTTTGAGACCAGTCTGGTCTACAGAATGAATTCTAGGACAGCCAGGGCTACACAGAGAAACCCAGTCTTGAAAAACCGAAACAAAAGGAGTCTTGAACCTTTTAATCCTAGTACTTGGGAGGCAGAGGCAGGCGGATCTCTGTGAGTTCAAGGCCAGCCTGAACTAAGAGCTAGTTCCAGGACAGGTTCCTAAAGATACAGAGAAACCCTGTCTTGAAAAACCAAAACAAACAAACAAACAAACAAGTCTTGTAAACAGCCTTTCCTATGGGCATCTGACAGGACTGCAATCTTGCAGGAGGTGGGAAGGTGAGAGGGGTGAGGAGACTCTGCTGCTCTTCAGCCTGGAGGAACAGGCCTCACAGATCTTCCTTCCCAGATTTCTGGTTGCTGTGGGACAATGGTTTTACCCTGTAAAGATTTGTTTCTTATACTTGGTACCAAGCCATGTGGCTAACACAGACAAGAATTATGGGCTAATATAAGTTATAAGAGTTAATAAGAAGCCTGAGCTACTAAGCCAATCAGTTTATAATTAATGTAGACCTCTGTGTTTTCTTTGGGACATAACGACTGCAGGAACCGGGCAGGACAGAAATCTCAGTCAACAAATGGTGCCCACGTGGACAACTGCATCCACTTAAAGCCTTGGGAAGTAATTCTAGACAGAAAGAACAGAGTTACATGGCTTCTCGGTACCATTTTCTTTTTCTTTTCTTTTTTTTGGTTTTTCGAGACAGGGTTTCTCTGTGGTTTTGGAGCCTGTCCTGGAACTAGCTCTTGTAGACCAGGCTTGCCTCTAACTCACAGAGATCCGCCTGCCTCTGCCTCCCGAGTGCTGGGATTAAAGGCGTGAGCCACCACCACCCTGCTCGGTAGCATTTTCTTAGGTGGGCTGTTTGTTAGAGGAAATGGGTCTCATTTTAGAGAGCCTTCCTGACTCAGCTTTAGCTGCAAAAACTTTGCAGCCCTTTTAAGAGGCTCTGCCACAAAACACTTGTTTATGGTGTTTATGAATAGCCGACGACAGCATGCTTCTTGGGTGGCATGGACCTTGAAATACAATACAATTATGGCTCTGGCCAGTACCTCCACCATGAAGCTAGTTTCTCAGAAAGCTAAGAAAAGGGGTGGATCCAGCTGTCAAAGCCATGCCTTTAATCCTAGCCATATTGTTTAGCAAATTAAAGACTCGTGTGGTCAGAAAAAGAGAGATACAGTAAAGATAGTTTCAGATGAAAAAAACCTCTAAACAGTTTGCAGTGTGTTTAAAAATATATGTACGCTTGGGAGAGAAAAGAAGGATTAAGTCCTTAAAAGAAAAAAAGAGAGTAGTTGGATATGGTGACACACACTTGGGAGGCAAAGGCAGGCAGAACTCTGTGAGTTCAGGACAGCCTGGTTTACAGAGTGAGTTGCAGCACAGCTAAAGAAACACAGAGAAACCCTGTCTCAAAAAGCCAAAAATTAAAAATAAAAATAAAAGAAATAGTGGTTAAAATAAAGCCACGTAAAGATGAAAAATATACAGAGTCTAGATACTGTATGTTATCAAAGAGGACGAAAAACTCAAGTCAACATCTGGTGCTTAGGGAGTCTACCAAATTGGAGACAAGCTGTGGCCAAGAGCTGGTGGTCCCCGGGTTGGTTGGGTCTTTGGCAGTGGCACATGTGAAAACAATGCTCACCATCTTTCCGCCTGTTGCTCGCATATGATGCTGCTCAGCTAGCCAGTGCTTGTCCTGAGGATCTGCTGCGTACTGTGAGGGACAAAGTCAGTGGGGGAACACGTTAGCTTAATAGGAAGGGTTCTTCTCTTGCCCCCCCCCCTTTTTTTTACAGTTCTTACCAACCGGACTGTCTTAGTTAAGAGTTTTACTCTTTCTTTCTTTCTTTTTTTCTTTTTGAGACAGGGTTTCTCTGCAGCTTTGGAGCCTGTCCTAGAACTAGCTCTTGTATGGGGATCCACCTGCCTCTGCCTCCCAAGTGCTGAGATTAAAGGTGTGCGCCACCACTGCCAGGTTTACAGACAGGAGTGGCACTACTGGGTGGTGTGACTTTGTTGGAGTAGGTATGGACTTGCCAGAAGTAGGAGTCACTATGGTTGTAGGCTTTGAGGTCTCCCCTATGCTTAAGCCACACCCAGTATTGCAGATCACTTCCTACTGCCTGTAGGTTAAGATGGAGCAATCTCAATTCCTTCTCCAGCACCATGTCTGCCTGCAAGCCACCATGATGACAATGGACTAAACCTATGAACTGTGAGCCACCCCAATTTAATGTTTTTCCTTTATAAGAGTTTCAGTGGTCATGGTGTCTCTTCACAGGAATAAAACCTTAACTAAGACGGTCAGACCCTTCTTAAAATACAGCATTCCTGGAAACAAGTGACA